CTCCGCCGGCGGCGCGGATTCCGAAGTGTCAACAGACACAGCGGGTCCAACACCGCCAGCAACAACTGCGGCCCGCGCCTCGGGCGCCGCTCTCCGCCTCGAAAAAAGAATTTTAGTGCCGAAAAAGAATGCAAAAAATGTTGCCTCTGCTCGTCTTCCTGCTCCTCACTCGGCCGGGCGGCGGCACGGGTGGTGCGGAGGCGTCGCCGCCGCGCGTGCGCGCGCGCGGGGCGGCGCCGGAGCCCACCTGCTGGCGCCGCCACGGCGCGACGCCCGGGGCGGAACGCGGGGTCGAGAAGACTCATGGCGAGGCTTCAGAGCAGCTCCAAAGCGAGCATCTCGCCCCGGCCCTAGCGCCGCTGGCAGCTCGAGCGCGAACGCCTTGTCGAGTTTGCCAGTCGGGATCACGAGGGGGGAACGAGGAGGGGGGAATGGGCGGTCGGCGTCGGGGTAGCAGTGACAGGGCGTACGGGGTAGTCGTCACACCCTCCTGCCTCAAAAGGGCGGGGCTGTCCCGGAAAGTGAGAGACGCCGGGCAGCGTGGCGCACAACTGAACCCTCCCATACGTGCTTGTGCTCCTCCTTTGCTGTCCCATCTCTTCATCTCTTTCCCGCCCGGGCGGGGCAGTGGGCGGGCGCGCGGTGCGGCGTGGCGTGTGCGTGTGTGCGACTGCAACGAAGGACCGCTCGCAAGGGACCATTGGGTTTGTACTATTAACAACGAAGGCGCTCTCAGAAAAAAATGTTCAGCGCGTGTCAAATCCCTCGGCGAATGACCTCGGGCGGCGACTCTCTTTCACCATTTTCGTGGACGGCAATGCCGCCGCCGAGCTCCGCCTCGCACGGGCTCCCGAGCGAGATTCTCGAGATGCTTGGCCGGGTGCAAGACCAGGCCATGATCTTCTCCTTCACCGTGGACGAAAATAACGAGAACGCTCGCTTTCCTTACGCCTCGCCGGGAGCGCAGGCCGTGTGCGGCGTGTCTGCTGAGGAGGTGATGAGTGACGCTATGGAGCTCGTCGGAAGGATCCACGACGATGACCAGCGTAGCTACTTTTCTTCCGTGGAGGAGTCTTGGAAGCAGCTATCCGAGTGGAACTTCACGTGGCGCTCTCGCTTCCCCGGCTACCCGAATAACTACAAGTGGCTCAAGGCCAGCTCAATGCCAAAGCGGCTTCCCAACGGGCACACCATCTGGTATGGCGCGGTGTATGACGCGGACGCCGAAACGAGGCTTGGGGACTCGGAGAAGCGGCAGACCGAGTCGGCCGCTTCCAACCGTCTTTTGCAGTCGGAGAATGACTCCATCTCCAACAAGTACGCGCATGCCTTCGACCTGCTCAACGACGTCGTCTTCGCTGTGCGCGCGACCAGCTGGGAGGCGGCCGACTGGCGCGCGAAACACACACACCTGCACACCGCGCCTGCACATACACCTGCACACACGCACACTACACACAAGTCCCTCCTCCATCATCGTGCGCCACGCCCGTTTACCTCGTCGTCCTGCAGGCGCGTGTACGAGTCCTCCAAGTCGTTCGGCGAGTATTTCCAGCTCGGCGGCGAGAAGCGCTTCCTCGACACCGTCGATGACGGGGCGGTCCTGCGGGAGCTGCTGGCGGCGGCGCGGCACGAGATGCAGCCGATACGCGACCTGGCCGTCTTCAAGCCGACGCACAGCAGCAACGAGCGGACGCTGCGCTGCCGTGCGGTCGATCTCTCCGGCGTCGAGGGCTTCACGAGCGTGCTCGTGGTGAGCCACGACCTCATATCTCCCCATCTCTCCCCATCTCTCCCCATCTCTCCCCATCTCTCCCCATCTCTCCCCATCTCTCCCCATCTCTCCCCATCTCTCCCCATATCTCCCGAAGGTGTGCCCTGAGCTCACCGACTTCAAGTTCCGCATCGAGGCGCCGCGCTGGGCGGCCGCCTGGCCCTCTTGTCGCTGCCGCGTGAGACGGTG